AGGGGCCCTCCAGCCTCACAAATGCCCATTCTGGGCAGCTGTGACCCCATGCTTGGCTGACCTTTCCCAGGGGGCTTGAGGCTGAGCAGAGCACCGAAGGGCTTGACAGCCACAATGGCAGCACAGAGGAGGAGCAGGCGCTTGGCAGGGGTGCTTCCACAGAGAGACCTGGAGCAGCTCTGCCAAAGGGGAACCTATGCTGGGGAGGGAGAGAAGGGTGCTAGGAAGCACGGTGTAGCTGGGATGTCCACCTGGACCTCTCTGAGGGAAGGAGAGGAAACACACTAGCGGCAGCTGCCTGAGTTGCAAGCTTGCTCTCATCCGATTCTGGCACTGCCTTGGCCTGGAAGAGTGAGTGCCTCAGAGAAGCGAGTGTGGCTAGATTTTGGCATGCCTTTCTCTGTTCCTCTTCGCTGAATGAAGGTTTTTGGGAGAAGAAAGGCTAAACTGAGTTTCTTCTGGGGTTCTGCATAGGCTGGGGCTTCCCATAAATCCCTAGTTTCCTGTGTGTTATGGCATGAGACAGCCCCTGATTGAGGAAGGTGTAATTTGGGGAACAGGGGTCCAGTGCAACCATCAGGAAAGATGGTGTGAGAAAGAGGTGTGACTCCAGGCAGGAGAAGCCAAAAGGAAGGCTCTTCTGGCCAAGGGTGTGTGGTGTGGAGAGGGGGTTGGGCTGGCCCAGCATCCCACTGTGCTTTGGTGATTCCTCCCTACCTTGCAGACTCCAGGCACTCTGTCAGGGTAAAGCAATCTTCCCTATTCCTTCCTGTATTGGGGTCTCTGTAACTAACTGCCTGGGAAATTTCTTCCTCACTGTCGGCGCCTTCTGTGCCCCCACAGCTTGTCTGCACTTCCCAGCACCTTGCATTGGTCTGCAGATCCTCCCCACCTCCTGGCATGTTTAGAGAAAGCCAAGCAGTTCCTCTGCATTGCCACTGTTAGCTTTGGGAGGCCATGGGGCAGGAGGAGGGCATCTCCCCTGAAGCCCCTGGGAGCACTGAATTTGTTACCACAAGCAACTTTTCCTCTTTTTTTTTTTTTCAAACTTTTTGTCAAAAGCAAAAGTTGTCAGTAGAAATAATTTTGACTGACAGCAACAAATAGGATAGAGGGTTCCTTTCCATAGTAAAGAGCTTGTACAGATACCCGCGTGCATGTGTGTGTGTGTGTGTGTGTGTGTGTGTGTGTGTACACATGTGCTCTAGATCTTGTTAAAAGATTAATTCAATCTAATAATTCCCTGGGCCAAGGGTAATTGACTTTGATGGATCCCAGGGCTGCTCAAAGTCCCAGTAATGCGATAACTGCCCTGACGTAACAGGATTAAGCCTGGACAGACCTGGGTGAGCCGGCACTGACTTCATCGCGTTCATTTCATGGGGGAAATTACACCCATCCATTACAACTAACTTTTCCAGGAGGCAAATTTGAAAGCCGTGTATGACCTAGGGTGACCCTTGGGTGGCCATGGAGAGAGGGCACCTGTGTGGGCCCTGGGTGGGAGGGTGCATGGGGGTCCCAGCCCTGCACCCAGCCATCCTGGATGGTCAGGCCTCACAGCTTGCCCACTTTCTAACTGGGGTCAATATGGGATGGTTTGAAGAGAAAGCAAGCCCAGTCTTGAGCTTGGCTCCTTTGACAGGGCAGTGATGTGGTTGGGGATTCTGGGCCCCTCTCTGGGCCCTTGGGCTCTGGCTACCTGAACACCTGCTTCATGGGGCTCTCCTCCTCCTAGGGGGCCGTGTGAAGACCTGGAAACGGCGCTGGTTCATCCTCACAGATAACTGCCTCTACTACTTTGAGTACACTACGGTGAGTGTGACTGCTCATCCTCTCTCTCCAAAGGCCTGGACCAGTCTGTCAGGCCTTGCCTCACACACCTCTCTTCTAGGACAAGGAGCCCAGGGGGATCATCCCGCTGGAGAACCTCAGCATCAGGGAGGTGGAGGACCCTCGAAAACCGGTACGAGATTTCCCTGTGCCTGTCTTTCCTCTCTAGAGCTTTGCAGCCTCCCCTCCCTCCCTGCCCCTGTGATGGGTCTCTTCTCTCTACCAGAACTGCTTTGAGCTGTACAACCCCAGTCATAAAGGGCAGGTCATCAAAGCGTGCAAGACAGAGGCAGATGGCCGTGTGGTGGAGGGGAACCATGTTGTGTACCGGATCTCTGCCCCCAGCCCTGAAGAGAAGGAGGAGTGGATGAAGTCCATCAAGTGAGTAGAACAGCCAGGCCCATGGGGAGCAGGGGTGTGAGCACACATGTGCATGTTAGATCCCTGTACTGTCAGAAAGGCTGCTCCAGACCTGGACCTGCTGCTTGTTTGTGCTGTGGGGTGTGGGGGACTGGGCATCTAAACCTACAGTCACAACCCACTTATCTTCCTTTCTCCCCAGAGCAAGCATCAGTAGGGACCCATTCTATGACATGTTGGCCACGAGGAAAAGGAGGATTGCCAATAAGAAATAGGTGACGCCAAGACCCAGACTCCACAGCGGACGCACCGACTACTCACAAGCAGCAGGACGAGGGGGCAGTATGGTGCCCATGGGTCCTCCAGAGCAGCTAGCCAAGGCCCAAGCCCCCAGAGCCTTGTCCTCTGGGATGTTGGTCAGCTGTGAGTGTTTCCTTCCTGCCACTGCCCTGGCGTTGACCTTTGGGGACCCTTGTCCACACAGCACCTGGTGACCCAGCCTCAGGACCTGCACAGCCCACACGGGACTCCTTTTCTGGAGCCAGAGCCTCAGCCCACACCACGCCACACCAACTCTTTTGGGCAGCACTAGCTGTTCTAGAAGTCACTGTTTTATATCAAAATGAAAAAGGAAAACCTACCACTTTTTTTATTCAGAATTTTTTTCAGATATATAGGATTATAGCTTTTATATGCCTTTTATATTCTGAAAATTATAATGAAAGATGCTTAATTTCTAACAGTAGTATTTTTAGAATGGCAGCTATAAACTTAACTCCTGGACACAAGTATGTACTGTGCACTGAACACAGTCTATATATGCAGCCTCCAACCATTTGAGTGGGAGCAGCTGGGGGCCTGATGTGTCAGGTGGGGCACAGGCAGCCAATCTGGGTGACAAGGCCCTGGGGTAACCATGAGGACCAGAATGCTTGGGAGACTCCAGGTGTGGCTAACTGTCACTTCCCTTCACGTGCTTCTCTAAGACAAATCACTAAAATAGGGTTATGGCTCAGGATGTTTATCCTGTCGGTGTTGAGGCTTGGCAGATAAGAGTCCTTTCCCTCGAGACAGGCTGTTTACGTGTCTGACCATCACACATGACAGTTCTATGTGCTCCATCTGCACATGGCCCATGTTGGCTTCGGTACTTTTGTTGCTTGCTGTTTCAAACTTTTGGTTAAGTGCTCACTGACACAGTAACTAGATCCACTATTTTGATGTAGTGTCTAGGCATAAGCAGCCAGAAGTAGCCCACATAGCCTCTGGTAGTGCCAGGTCTCCAACATTTGGCATCCCTTTTAAGGAGGGAAAAGCTGAAAATGGCACTTAGAAGCCAATGGCACACAGAACCCTGTATATACCAGGGTGATTTCAGGGCACTGTGTGCTTGGGCTGAGACTGGGTAAAGTGGTCAGACCTATTCTGTTGCACTTCTGGGGAGGCCCATTCATAATTTGGGGGACCCTTTTGAGGCTGCGTGTGGCTTGTTCGGAAAATGGTCTTCCCTGCCAAGCTGCTTCCCTGGAGCTTGCATCCCGACGGTCCTTGAAAACCTTCAACCAAATGCACTCAGACATGACTTTGTGAGCTGTCTTGAGGCTCGTTGCCTCAGAGGTAGCTGTCACATAAGATTTTTTGTGGGGTGGTGGTGGCGAAGGCTGAAATCCCCTCATGTACCAGATTGCTCACCTTTTGGTTTATTCCCAAGCTTCTAGGTTTTTATTAATACCTCAGATTTGAAACCTTTGAGCTGCCTGGCTGGTGTGTATGTAACCTGGCTTCCAGTCTTCCATGATCCCTACTCCTAAGCCTTTACCACCTCAGACCAGAACCTGCTGCTGGTTGGGCACCTGTGTGTATGGATGAGTGGGAACTCACATCCCTTCCATCAAGACTCTGGTGACTCTGCCTTCTCATGTCCAACCCAGGTATGGTCCTGGGGATACAGAGCTCTGGTGGATGTTGAGGATGGTGTCTTTAATGCCATAGTCATCTTTGAGGGGACTTTGCCTGATGGCTGTTGGTGCTAAGAATCCTAAGTTACTGGCTCTCAGAGTATCCACATGGAGTCACCTAGCTCAGGTTATGTTGTGACAGTGTTAACCCCAAGGGCATCTGGCTACTTCCAAGGCTTGCAGAGGCTCAGTTATACTCATGCCCTTTGTCTGCACTCATTGAAGCATTAAGTCCGACTCTGGCCAAAGACCATTTCCTGTCCTGCTGGGCCCTGGTTGTCATTTTCAGGTGTAGGTGGACTGGCCTTGGAGGTGTTGGAACACTTGAGTGACGTGGTCCCAGTCTACCCAGGAGCTGTTGAGAAGGAGCAACCTTCTGTGCTTCATGTCACACTGGTTTCCAGAGCTACAGCTATGCTTTGCTGACAAGTTCAGTATGTTACAGACCAGAAACCACAAATGATTTCTTTCTTTCTATCTTAGAAAACATTTCTATTTACAATAAAGTTACTATGTAAATAATGTACATATCTATTAATTTCTGCAGTGTTTGTTATACAATGTACATACTCCTACAACCTGCATGAAGAAATATCTATTAATGTTGATATCAGAATTTCTGGCTATTTTATTGCAAAGCAAATAGCTAGTAAATTGGAGGGCTTACAGATGTCAAGAACTATCGCAAATACTGTGTTCCCAAATAAAAACATGCTAAGACACAACTGCCTCAGACTCAATTCTTCATAACAGACGTGGCTGTGAGCTCATGGAGAACAGAGTAAAACTGAGACAGAGTCATTTAATTTGCTGCCATTTATATACTATATAAATCTTACATGCCATATATACAGTGGGGCAAGTGCTTTTTTAATCTTAAAAAAAAAACAAAGATCAACTTTAGACATCTCTGAACAACACAAACTGTATAAATCATACAGATTATTCAGATACACACTGTATTAAATACAGTCTTTCCCCACTCCCGTCTCCTGATGCAGGACCAGTGAATTATAAGTGTATCACAGTTTGATAGCATATCCATATTAAAAATAAAATCACAGTATGATTTTTGTCTGTAACTAGAAACTTGAAGGGATCAAGCTGACGACTCAGACTCCAATATCATATTGTCGAGACGAGACACAGTATAAAAAGTGTTAAGGTAATAAAAACATACTGTAGGCTTTACAAATAATGTCTGGATTATACATTCATAATGCAAATACTCATCATAACTGGTAAATTGATTGGAATAGTTCCACAAAGTTCAAAAACAGAACTTGTCTATAAAATACATCTTCAAATCTTGAATACAACTAAAATGTGAAGCAAATTAGTTTCTAGTATCAGACATTGCAGAGGAAGCCCTCGAAGGTCTGGATGAGAGCTTGGGTCTTTAAATAAGTCTTTAAATTAAATAGACGCACTGTCGTTTTGTCCTTTTGAAGTTCATGGTTCCCGTTGGCCGTGCACCAGATGTCTAGCTTGGAGGAACATTACATGGAATACAAGTAGTCAACCTGAGTCTGTAGTTAAGCAGCATCTGAGATGGTCTATTCCAGGGCATTATTTTCAGTGTGGTTTTATGTACACGGTAATTTACAATATTCAGCAGTGTACAAAGAATCCATTTGGAATAAGGGCAATTAAGAAAAGGTAAAAACTGAAAAAAAAAAGTTGTCCATGGTAAAGTCTGTACAGTATTTACTAAAGAAGCACCACGCAGTTTGGACAAAGTTATTTTCTATGTTTATAATTTAAGCTGGGTTGGGGATGGCTTCTGTTGAAGATGTTGAATCTGAAAGAAAAGAGGTACAGGCGTTAGCTGAATGGAGGCTGGTCTCATGTGCTCTGGGTGTGCTCCCGTTAAATGAGTTTTCTACCTTTCTCAACTGGGAGGCCAGGGAGGCGCCATCTGCTGGGCCCCTCAGCTGTTAATCGCCTCAGACCTCAGATTCCACTTTGACAGAGCTGGAGAGGCTTAAAGTCTTTGTCTTCCTGACACTGACAAAGCCGTTAATTAGCTGCAAATTGAGCTTCTGCAGCAGCTCAATTTAAAGCCCTCTTTGCAGATTGGATGGGACAGACTCCTTTTTGCTTCACCAAGTGTGGGTTAGGAGTTTCCTGTCTCTCAGGGCCATACAATAAAACACCAGCAATTAGGACCCAGCCTATGGCTCTGACCTATTTGATTCCTCTCTGCTCTCAGATACTTAACCCCATGTCTGGATACAAGTGAGTGTCACAGACACAGACCCCCAGGACTCCAATCAATCTTTTCTTCAGAAGGAAACCCACCTCTATCCACTCAGAACTTTTACAAATGATCAAAACACAGACAAGAAAACTGCTTACCATAATCTTTTTTTTTTTTTTTTTTTGTTATGAGGCTGGGGCGTTAATCACCTGGAAGGCAAAGTGAGGAAACAGTTTAACGAGTGTGTACCTGAAGACTCAACTGCAGGAAAAGTTCACTCCCACAGGATGAGCAAGCAGACACTGGCTTGGCAGTGCTACAAAGAACTCCCAACAGAGGATGTTCAAGAGCCACGCCCAAGGACCAGGTCTGCCCCAGCATACAGCTGCACATTCTTATGTGAGGATGAACAGATGTCAGCTCAGAGGGCTGGAGGAAGAACTGGAGTTTACAAGAAGGGGTCAGTGGTGTTCAGAAGAGAAGTGTGGGTGCAGAGTAGCTGCAAACAAGCCACTAGTTTGAGACCACCTGATGTGTGGACTGCCAAAGAGCAAAAGGTTCCACTCAGGGCCAACACATCTGTAGCAACACACACGCCTTTTATTCATGACCATGATCTTTGGGTGTCTGGGGCAGAAATGACAAGCTTTTTATGTCAAGGGCCAGATGATGAAAATCATTTCAATGGGACAGGCCATGTCTTACCTCTACTGAGTGGTTCAAAACAGCACAACACAACACATGGACTTCAGCTAAAGTCTACTGAACCAAAACCTGATTCCACACAGTGCTTCACTTGAACAAATACTACTATACTCAGTACTAGTTAGAGCCACTCTGAATTGCAGGTTAGGCTGTAGCCACAGGGCTACAGTTTTCCAGCCTCTGCTCTGGCCCCACTGACATTCCTATCCCATACGTTTTTTTTACAAGCCAAATGCTATCTAAAGGAAAAGCTCATTAAAAAATGGTAGGAAGAGAAAGGGGCATCCACACACACTGGCACTCAGGTGGGGGAGGGGAACTCACCCTGAACTACAAGGATCCAGCAAGAATCACCTCAGAAAACGGCACCTGGAGGGTACCATAGCCCCACAAGAAAGATACGTCTCTAGAGACCACACTACTGAGTTATGACTTAGCAACTGGAGTACACTAGGGCCTTTAGGGGTTCAGAAGTTAACACAATACACACAGATGTACAAGTAGGCGCATACAAACATACACAAGCATAGAATACTTTAAAAGCCAAAGCTCTACTGTGTGACACATACAGACTCTAAGTTCCAGGAGTCTGAGCACACAGGTTACACTGGGCCCAGCTCCATGCAACTCAGGCCTTCAACAGAGGTCACACCATACCTCTGCTCATAGGGAGGATCTTGTTGTAGGGCATCTTGAGTCAACTCATAACATTCTGTGCCCCTTACATTTCTGTGTTCATTACCTTTCCCAAACACGTTACTCAAAGAGCTGTGTCCTTAATTCCCAGTCTTCTTACCCTGGCCATACTCTGACAGATGACATCTGTCAGGCCGGCTTTCCATCCTTAAATGCTTAGATTTCTCCCGGAAAGAGCCACTGTCTTCCAGAGGCAGGCCATTGGCCAGCAGGAAGGTGCCCTCTGTTCTCCGGAAATGGCCGACAGCCTCATAGCTCAAGGGCTTCGGTAAATGAATCTCAACATCTTTCATAAAGTCCTCTGACTTCCTTGAATGTCTTTTCTTTTTCTTCTTCTTCTTCCGATGTCTATGGAGGTCAGCATCAGAGTATGCTCCCGAAAAATCGGATTCTTGCTGATGCCTGCAGAAGAAGCAGCCAGAGTTCAGCCCCAGGGAAAAACTGCAATCCTGGCTCCCCATCCACTGGGACACTAGCTATGTATCTGTGGGCAAATTTCTCCTGCCAACATGTTGTTTCTTCCCATGGAAACAAGTTTTAAGACCAAGGTCTTCAAATACAACACCATGGTCCTAAGCACGGCTTTACCCTAGCCAGACTTGGCACATTCTGCCATGTGCCCAGGCACAGAACAGAAGGCAGCTGTGACCTGCTGCTGTTTACAAATGGCTATGGCCATCTCCCCCAGTTTTCATGGTAAGTGATATCAGCTAAAAGATACAAAACTTCATTCATGCTCATGAATCAGACAAATTAAGACAGTTGCCACTCCTAAGTGACACAAACCAATCACATGCATGACATACAGCCTATAAAATACCAGCATTGGGGACACTGAGGCAGAAGGATCTAAGTTTGAGCCCCCCCCATGTATGTATGTATGTATGTGTGTGTATATATATATATAACATTTAGAATTAAGGAGACAAACATCAAAGAAAGAAATGGTGTGTCCTAAGCTCACTCCAATCAGGCAGAGAAGAAAATACAACAGATACAAAAAAACATCATGACGTGTCAGGCCTCAGAGAGTTGTTAGGGTCCAATAAATTAAAAGCTTTGTGAAACTTTAGAGATATGTAAAACAACCAAATCTCAGAACTCCAGTGATTAAACAAAAACAGACTGGTGGAGCAAGATCTAGTATTGTCATGAGAGAGCTGGCCATGCAAGCACCGTGGTCACACCAAGCTCAGCCACTGGATCCCCTTCTCCAGGCCTCACCTGGCATCTCGATCCCGGTGTTTATCTTTGGACTTCTTTTTCTTCTTAGATTTCTTGTGCTTCTTCGCCCTTGGCTCTTCTGAAGCGTCCTTCTCCAGATTTTTGTGGGCTTTTTTTTCTAGGCGGCTATCATTTTCTGTAGTCTCATACCTCCGTTTCCTTGACTTGACACTTTCGTGTTCGTGAAAGCGATCAGGGAAGCTGTGGTTGCTGTCCTGCACAGCCAGCGTGGCCTTCTCTTGGGGATGCCTCTCGATGGACAGGGCAAGGCCTGAGGCCTCTCGTGAGCTATGGAAGTGGGGCCGTTCCTTCCCCCGAGGTTGTGGCTCCCAGCCTTTCCGGCCCCAGTAGCTGTCTTTGTGTGGACGCCCAAGCTGAGCAGTGCGTTCATGCTCACGACTACGCAGAGGCCGCCACTCTCGGGCCGTGTATGGGGTGTACCTGTCGTGGTAATACCTGCATTTGTCCCACCTCATCTTGTCTGGGTAGAATCTCTCCCTGACCCAGGCATGCTCATTTTCCGAATGGTGGTACCGGCTCCAGTCCTGCTCTGAGCCATTCCTAACCCGTGAATGATGGTGGCTGTATCTGCTTAGGGAGCGGTGCTCAGGGCTGTCTCTGTCACCATGGCCCAGGTGCTGGCCCCCATTGCAGTACGTATTAATGGGGTGGCGCTCCTGCTTGGACCTCTCTCGACTGTAGCAGCGTCGCTTCTTATGGTGGTGGTCCTCCGTCCGGGCCCTGCAGTCCCTCCCGTGCTCCCCACTGGAGGAGCGCTCTCTCCGGCTCCGATAGTGTCCGCGACCCACTTTCCGGAGGCTGCTCACCTGTGCCTTAGCTGGGGAAGGCTCCTCAACTTTGGGTCCCACCTTGCTTCCATCACCTCTCTCCCCGGGAACCTGCTCAGCAACCCCTTCACAAGAGCTGGTGGTCCAGTCAGGCTGAGGAGGGGGAACTGTGTCTGCAGAGACCCCCGAGCTTCTAGATGAATCTTCGGCCTCCTCAGACACCTCTGTGCTGAGGTAAAGGAAGAGTTTCTGCTCACAGCCCTCGCCTGTGAGTACTGAGGGAGCCGGACTCAGTCTCTCCACCGCTTCAGCCAAAGTGGAGTCCTGCGGGTTCTCAGCTATTTCCCCTTTCGCTGCTTGGGGTGGCTGGCTCGGGTTGGTAGTCAAGTCATCAGGGTCACACAATTCGGGCAGTGGGGTATCCCCCAAGGTAGTACCGGTGGTGTTACAAGGAGCAGTGATGGAGGGCAGAACCTCCACAGGGCTAGCTGAGATAGCTGAGACAATAGAGGAGTCTTCTTTGGTACAGTTGATGGTGGGCTCCTGGGGTGACATGGTTGTAGGGGTCTTCATGCTCCCATTGGTAACTGCCTCTGATGTCTCAAGAGAACCATTCTCATCAGGGCTGGGCTCCAGCTGTGGCACAGGGTCCTTCGGGGGGCTTTCCCCTGTTGTAGTCCAACTACAGCACCATCAAAATAAAGAAACAGAGTGATGGTTAGCCCGACTGCCCACAGGACTGCGGGACAGCTCCACTCAACAGTCTGTACTTTAAGCACAGCTGATGAAGCACAGTATCAAGTTTATCACTCCTGGAAACCAAGTTTTTCTTTTCCCTCAGTAAGTAAAAAGTACAATTTCTACCAGGACTACCTCCTATTTTCACAATTCCATGGTCATAGACACTTCAAACTTTCAGGTAAGTGTCTAACTCATCTCAAGAGCTAAGTGAAGCCAGGAATGGTAGCTATACATACTTGTAACCCCAGCATTTGGGAAAATGGACAAGAATTAGAAGCCAGCCTGATCTACATAGTAAGTTCCAGGCCAGGCCTAAAAAAGTCCAGGGGCTAAGGGTTGTGGCGCAGTTGGTACTACTCACCAGCACACACATACCCCGGGTTCTGTCCTCAGCACTGCGTAGGACAGGTGTGCTGGTTCACACCTGACATCCCAGCAGTCAGGATGAGGCCATTTTCAGCTACACAGGGAGTTGGAGTCCCTGTATCAAATCAAATGTTTCAGAACACCACTGAACCTGTAAGAGGGTGTGCACGAGGACATGTCAGCTGAACCCATCAAGGGATCCTGACTCCTAGTTGCCAGGCTGGTATTTTACTCTTCTAAGAGGGAAGCTGACAAGATCCACAGATGAGCGTGCCCTTCTTTGCACTATCTGATGTGCTCACTCGCACTAGCACACTCACTGACACCACTCCTACCTCTCTTCACCCGATGGGCCCTTTGCCTGGTTGGTAAGCTTGAAGGTCTCGAGGACTTTGTCTTCAGGAACAGACTGTAAAGGAGCAGGCGTCACCTACAGTGAAACAAAGGGGCTTCAGATCCAGTGGCCAGCGCCATGCCTCATGAAATCCAGCTAAGCTATGAAGCTGGAGACCCTCCCTCCCTGCCACTCACCTTTCCAGGAAGACCGTTAAGTTTGGAAAAGAGGTTTTCTGTATGTATATCGGGCTGGACCTGACAGCTGGCACTGTCAAATGCTAGGCCGTTCTCTCTCAAGTCGCTGCCTGCGCTATTAGCACCATTTAGCGTGACAGATTCTTGTAGCTCATGAGGGGAAGCCTCACCGTCCTCGTCTTTAGCTTCTGGCCTGGCACAGGGAGTGCTGGCCATCATGTCTACACCATTCTCCTGGGCCAGGCCCTTCGACTCCTCATCGGACTCTTCTGAGGACTCAGCCCCATAGGGGACCAGCACACTGGAGCTCACCTTAGCCTTGCCGTTCACCATGGGCTTAGAACAGGGTTCACTGGGGGAAACTGCTTTTGCTACTTTATTGGAAACAGATGTCATGGATGCGTTCGAGGTAGACTGTATTGCAGAAGGGTTAGTGATGGTAGAGGAGGGTGTTGCCTTGCTAGGGGCCTCCAGCAAAGGGCCATGGAGGTTGTTATTCAGCTGTGCCTGACCCTGGCGAACAGGCAACTTGTTGTGAATACTGATGGTAATTTTTTGTTTCTTGGGGTGCTCTGGAACAACTGAGGGCCTGCTGACAGACCAGTTTTGCACAGAAGTTGAGGCATTAACAGGACTGGCCCTATTGACGCTGGTGTTTCCGTTAGGGCTTGACATCGAACTACTTGGCGTGTCTTTCACTGGCGTGGTGCCATTCAAGTGTGGTGTAGTCTACAAGGAGGAAGAGAACAGCTGGGTCAGTATTCCAGACACAGTACATACACTTGGTAACTGACAAGCTTCGCTTCTGCTGTTTATCAGCAAATTCCTTTCACACTGCCACACTCCCAAGATGACCCAGACATGAACAAAATGTCCCTGAGAATTTTACTTCCCTGAGTCCAACTTTAATTAAGAACCCAAATCGCTAGTCTAAAGGAGTGTGGGAGTTCACAGTAAGAGGGGTCTTCTACACGCGCTCTAAGCAGCCACTGGATTATTCCCCTACCCTGAAGCGTTTTGTAATAAAGGGCTGCAGTGACCTCAGGCAGCAGATGAGGCAACTCCGTCAGTGAGGCCAGGTTTGGGACTCGCTTTCATGACTCAAGAGTTACCTTCATGACATGGGAAGGTAGCTGGGGTCCAATAAACCCTGGTGCTGCCTGCTTGTTGTTGACGACCCGCTGACTGATTCCTGGACGGGGAGAGGACTGGCCAGGACTATGGGTGGGATGAGCAGGTTCCCCTCCATTTTTCACATCATGTGACCTGGGCACAAAGAATAAAATGGCTTGTATGAGGAAAGACATCTCCTTAGAAGTACCTAGCTTGTCAGACAGAAATGGGACATGGAACTTCCATATCTCACGGACAGAGCTACACATCACCACCCCTATTAGGCTGTCAATGCTGGGTGCTGAGGCAGGACACGAGAAACTGACTCAATGAGCCACCCACCCCCAAGACATATTACATGGCTCTTGTTATCTTGGAACTGGGTGTGTAGACCAGGCTGGCCTCAAACATAAGAGATCCACCTGCCTCTGCCTGTTAGAATTAAAGGTGTGCACCACCACACCCAGCACCAACTAGGTCAATGAAATGTTGGTTTCAGTGTGGGTTTCTTGTTGTTACTGCTGTTGTTTTGGAGACATGGAAATGGTCATTCTGTCATGGTTGAATATCTAGGGATATTTTCAGCTACCTGGGATATTTTGTGGGACTGAGAATGTGGCTGATAGATGGCCTGGCTTGCATGTTTGAGATCCTGGGTTCCACCCCAAGTACCTAATAGAGGAGACAACGTGGAGCCTATATCATATTTCTTCAGAAATAGAACAGGTGTGTTACGAGCCTGCAGCTAACAGCAGTGGGCGCAAGTGCTGGCAGAGCTTGACTGCTGGGGAGGCACTGACAGAGAGCACAAGGGCACAGAGCCCCCTTCCCATGGCCTCCTCAGGGCTGCTGTCCCTCCTTCTATACTTGTCAGCGAGCGAGAAGCTAATGGCAAACTCATGACATGTACTCAAAAAGACCTCAGGCTTAAACACATGGCAATTCATCTTTAACCTGCTGTTTAAAAGGCAGTTCAAAATTAAGTATGTTGATGAAAGGAAGAGAAATTGACCCAACAGCAAAGCTAACAACTTGTTTTCAAGTCAATACCTGATATAAAAGAGCACATAAGCTTGCTGGTTAAGCACCGATCTAATATCACTGGTGGACACGATGGAGTCATTCATCTGATACCAAAGACCATTGCTAGCCTGTCAAAGAAACCACAAAGAGAGGCTGGATTTAGTCTGATGTCAAGGCCCACAGTCAAAAACCACCTAAGAGAAACAGACCATCACCCCTCACTGCTGACCCCATGAACCCAGTGCTATCCCACAGAAAACTTACTAGCTGCCCGGCAGCATACCTTTATGTAGCAAAAGTAGTGGCCAGCATGACAGTTAAAACCAGTGTGTACCAGCACAGCATACAAAACATAAATAATTGGCTCTCCGTTGGGCTGAGACATATAGGGCCGAATATCAAGGTACTCAGGATATTTTACATCCTAAAAATAAACGGAAAGAGTTAGGACTGTTATTTTTGAAGACACAGGTGGCCCATGTTTTCGGCTACAGGCGTACACATAAGGAGGGTGTTCAAGACCTAGAAGCCTTGACCCCAGAAAACCAATGAACAGAATAGAAGAGAGCTGAGGGCAATCCCATTTATGGGTCATAAATTAGGACCCACACTGTGAATCTTCAACAAAACCTCACAGTGACAGCTGCAGCTGTCACTCATGACCAAGTGACTCAAGCATGTGTTACAGCTCTTGCACGTTACTGTATCTTGGCCACTTTCACCATTAATTCGGAAGGAAAGGGGAAAATTCAATGTACAGTGATTAAAAAAAAAAAAACCCACAAATCATGTATATACCTTAGCAATTTTCCCGCCAGTGAAGTTGGCAAAGCGCTTCAGTGAAATGGTGAGAACATTAGAGGACCTATGGATGGTGAATCTCTTTGAAGCTGGAACCATTTTTTTACACCTTGAAACACACAGGAAGGAAGGGTTGGGATGTTTAGTGTAGATACTTAAGTGTTTTAGTTTTTATTTGTCTAAAACACCCTAAGTTAATATTTTAAAACAAAGAAACTAAATTAAAACAAGAACAGCAAACCAACTCTTTAAACCAGCAGTCAAAATAGTAAAATTAGAAATTCCAGGAGGGCTGGGTGTGTGGGCCAGTGGTTGAGCACTTGCCTAGTATGGACAAGACCCCAGCCAGGCTCAGTCCTCCACAACACCCACATACAAAGAAAGATATATAACTGACTATTCAGGAAGATTAAAATTCAAAACCCCCTGCCTTTAAAAAATAATCCAAAACGCTGAGTAACTGATAACATTAAACTGGGGTAGGATGCAGCTCCATGGTCAGGCACTTGCCTAACCCATGTGACACTCTGGACTTCATACCCAATACCCCAAACGAAAAACAGAGAAAAAGAAAATCACCTAAAAAGCACTGAAAATGGAGTCAATTTCTAAATTAGAATAACCACAGGAAAGCACAGCCCTCTCCCCAAAGACGGCAGGAACATGTCACCCAGCCATACTTGCTGCATTTGTACGAGTTTTCTCCATCCAGTTGTTCTGGCTTCACAAACTGCTCCAATGCCTTGGTAACACTCTGAGCAGCCTAGGAAATGGGCACAAACCTCATGTCACCATGCGCACTGCCAGGGGTTGAGATGGACAGACAAATGCACATACCCCTATCCTTTGGCAGAAAAGCAACAGGAAATGTTCACGTGATTTTCTGTTACTGTTTATCGTGTATCTACTTTTATACAACTACACAAAAAATTATGCCCCCATTTTAAAGACAAGCAGATTAAACAGAACAAAGTAGACTGCAGTTTGACTTACACTGGCCTTAAAAAGTAAGGACCAGGCATGTAAACTATGGAATATCTACTTTCTAGACCCACTATGCAACTGTCCAGAGAACAAGGCTTCCAAGCAGAATCAAATGAAAACAGCAGACAGGTAAAGGGATAATCATAAACCATCTTCATAAAAGACAGCAATCTGGGGCTTGAGAGATGGTTCGGAGGCTAAGAGTACTTGCAGCACCACAAAGGCCGCTCACATCTGTAACTCTAGCTCCAGTGGGTCCACCAATGCCCTATTCTGGCCTCTGCAGGTGCCCCCCACCCACATACACACAAGATACACTCACACAGATACACATATATGGAAGTTTCAAAATATTTTTTAAAAAGCAAGCAATCTATTGTGGAGCAGCATAGATCACACCACTAAAGAATAAACTCTTGAGCCGGGCGGTGGTGGCGCATGCCTTTAATCCCAGCACTTGGGAGGCAGAGGTAGGTGGATCTCTGTGAGTTCAAGGCCAGACTGGTCTACAAGAACTAGTTCCAGGATAGGCTCCACAGCTACAGAGAAACTATGTCTCAAAAAACCAAAAAATTCCGAGGGACAGGTTTTGCATTTCTATGCATTATTTCTTTGTTTAGCAAGTACAGAACTACATTTGTAATCAGAAAAACAAAAGCTCCAAACAACAAAAACCAGGAGTGTGAAAATTTCAATGAGCTAAAGTTTCAAAGAGTAACAACCATCTATGTTTGATTGATATGAAAATATATAAACACCAAGGCTACGAAAGGATGTTTTTAACTTCACTACTGTTAAGTGCTGAGCTCACCTTAATCTCCAATGTTATGTCCAGATATGGATCAAAAGTATCTGAAACACCCTTGCAATTTAAACATTTGACTGAAATAAAAGAAAATATGAATAGTAAGTTCTTGCCTTACCGGCTACTGATAGGACAGAATACATTTTTTCCAAATAAAGAACTAAGAGTACTAAGTGAAAAGGATGTAAGTAAATTCTCACACTGTGGATAGAAGTGCCATAATCCTAGCCCCTGTAAGCCACTGGCTGAAATATAAACTGCTATAACCTCTAGATACTTTAGGATTCAGAAATTAGAAGCCTTCACTCTGCGCAAGCGATGGCACACACGAAGGTATCTGATTATGAATGCTCTCAAAACAGACACTTATCCCTCAACAGGAGATGAGATGGAGCTCTGACTGCACCCGTAAGCTTTCTAGCAGAAAGAGAAATATGAAGGGCTTATGCACAGTATGCCCCAGCTCATTCAGTACCAGAAGGATGTACTGAATCTGGACGGGCCTGCGATCTTTTCATTATTACCCACCCCTACTGTTTGCATTTTAAAACCATAAGCATGTATGTTATGATGAATCTTCAAAAAAAGTTTACCTCGCGATCTTAGGTATCCTCCAAATATCTGGCAAACTAGGGTGGTAGCTTGGGTGTGTCTGTCCAATCTGAAAAACATCCAAATAGTGACATTAGAGGAGAGCTCGGCAAATGCTGTGGCCAGATTTTAAGAGCATCTATGTTTATAAAGGAACAACAATTCGGAGAATCACAAAAGATGACGTCAGAAATGCGTGGCAGCTGGAGACTATCCCACTGTGAGGACTTGGTGAAGGATGCAAGGACTTGCTATGATGCCTGAGGTAGAGAACTGAGAAGATGCTCTTTACAAACCTGCGCTTCTTTCTTTGCTGAGGCCTGGCAAGGGGAGTTAAGGCAGAGCACCTTCCTCTGTTCAACACTAATGGTACCCAGACCAATCCTTAAGACTTGAGACAAAAGAGCAAAGAGAAACATGTACAGGTGTCTGGAACACAACAGGTGGGTTGGGATCTTTCCTAGTCTTCCTGAGTTTTAAGAAGCTACAGAACTGATAAATGAAGGGGGTGTGGAGGGCAGATTTCTGAGTCTGGAGATGAACATGGAAAGCATTAGGCATTGCTAAAAGGAAAAGCAGCTAGAATCATACCTGGAAACTAAACAGCAGCAAGACTACTACCCAGCATGTAAGATCAACAAATTTGGATGGTTACAATAAGTCCATTTCCTGACTTTTAGTCTTTTTACAATGGTGCAAATCAGGAAAAGGAACCTTCAAAGAGACAAGCTGAAAGCATGACGTCATGAACTGACATCGACTCTGCTGTACTTACTTATTGCTGCCATTTAAACATGCTTTCTGCATGGCATCAACTGTGTACTGAAGAAATTCATGGGCATCTTCTTGGTTTCCAAAACGGAAGTGTCTAGCTATACCTGTAAGATTTGAAGAAAGATAGGCCTTATTATTACACACCCTGTGCCATGGTGATATCACTGAAAGATACACCTGGAACTATGTCCCTGGAAAAACCCTGAATGACCTTATTTTTTGAGGCTTAGTCTTATGGATCTCAGGCAGGCGTCAAACACTGCACTAACTGAAGATGACCTTGAACTCCTGATGCCCCTGACTTTAGTTCCCAAGCATCTCTTATTTTCAACAACTTTTTAGGCAAAAAGATTATAGCTTGTCACTGTATAACCATATACCTTTCTATAATTACCCTGAATGAGTTCTATATTGTTATTACAAAATTGGCTAATTAAAATGATAAAAAGATATAGTACAAAAAGCACATTGATATGCTGGGCATGATAGTACAGGCCTGCCTATGCTTTAGTACTTGAGATGTGGAAATCAGGTGTTCAGAGCCATCCATGGCTACACAGAAAGTTCAAGACCAGGCTTGGACACAGGAGACCCTGTCTCAAAACACATGAAGTGTGTAAAAAAACTGTATACAAGCCCTGAATGGTGTTGTACACCTGCAATCTCAGCACCTGGGAGGATGATGCAGGCAAAGTGCCATGAGTTTGGGGCCAGCATGGACTACAGAATGAGCCCCTCTCTCAAAATACAAAAAGGAGGAGATCTGGACGACAACAAATAACTAGACATGGAGTACCGACAGGAGCTACTGCAGTTGAAACTTACGTCGCATTTCATTGATGACGAACATCGGCTTGATAACGTCTCCAGGGTTGCTGAGTGCCTGGGTAATGTGTGTTTGCATTATGCACATCATACAAAATCCTTCTGCGTGGCCTGCAAGATAATGAGAATCCAAATGAGCAAAATGTGACAATATACAACAGGAAGGTAGATCAGAAATGAGGGCAGACGCCCAGAATGCAGCAACAGTGCCAGTTACCATGTGCATGCACTGAGCTGCTGCTATCATTTAATTATCTGGGAAGGTTGGGTGAAAAGTATATACTGATGACTTTAAGGACCAGAGAAGAAATGTGCCCAAAGTCAGGTATTTATTAAACAGTAAAAATGCAAGATGAAAATGCTGGATTTTTCCGTGAAGAAGGCTGCTCTGAGCACACAGTGTCAACAACTACAGCAGCAGACACCTGTGCAGCACAGGGACAGGCACTTGCTGAGCATGAGTGAGACTCTGAGTTCAATCCCCAGCAATGAAAGGAAAAAAAAAAACTTCACATTACAAACAAAAATTAATTAAAAGGAATCACTGACTCAAAAAAAAAAAAAAAGGAAATGTCTAGAAGAAAACAGAGTAAAATATCTCTGACCTCAGACTAAGTAAAAATGTTTACATTTTATTTACTGCATGTGTACGTGTTTGGACGCACAGGCCAGTGTAAAGGCAGAAGACACGGTGTGGGAGTCGGTTCTCTCCATCCACAAAGGAGCCCCAGGTACTGAACTCAGGCTGTGAGGCCTGGGGGCAAACCACCTGATTCTCCACATCATCCTGCCAGTTCAAGATTTCTTAAAGAAGATTTAACATAACTGATAAAAAATAAAAAATAATGAACTACAAATAATAAACTTTCCAAAAGACACTGAGATCAAAGACACCTATTAGAGAAAACACAAGTCTCAGTCTAATAGTTCCAAAATATATAAAACCCCCAAAATTCAACAACAGGAAAACCAGCTAGTTCACAGCGAGACAAGATTTAAAGGGGCAGGGGGAGCTGAAGATGTAAGTGCAATTGGCAGACTGCTGAAGCCCTGTGTTCTATCTTCAGCACTCTATGAACAGGACCAGGACGTGGTGATGCACACCTGTAATCCCAGCTCTCTGGAGGCAGAGGCAGGAGGATCAGAAGTTAAAGGTCATCTTCCACTATGCAGTCTAGGCCTGCCTGGGCTAGGACCCTATCTCAAGGGAAAAAAATAAAAAAGATAAAAGATTTTTCCCATCATTACTAATTAGGGAAGTGCAAATAAAAGTCACAACAATCAGAAGACACTAAGTATTACTGAGAATGGTCACAATGGTGAAGACTGGGGCTGAGGGTATAGCTGAGGGATAGAGCATTTGCCTAATAAGGAGACCCTGGGTTCAATAAATAAATAAATAATCAAAATCAAAACCCTGCTCATACCCTGTGTTTGAAAACGCATGGTGCAAATAGAACCTTCATCCCTGCTGGTCAGGGCTTAAATATCACAATCCCTTTGGAAACAGTTCTGAAGTATTTAAAAGTTATGTGTCCAGCACAGGATGAAGTCATTTCATTCTCACCCAAGAGAAATAACATACTTCTTTTATAAAGACAAACAAATATTTCTACCAGCTTCTTTTTTTGATTATTTATTGGAGACAGGGTCCCAGGTAGGCCAGAATGGCCTGGAACTCTGGTTTTGGGCTTTTTGTTTGTTTGTTTTTCAGACTGAAGATTAAACCAAGGGCCTGATGCATGCTAAGTGAGCATACTACCACTGAGCTAAATGCCATGCCCACGGACATGGAACCCCACATCTATTTCATGTTCACTTCAGAGGAAGACAGCAGTGGGGAAGCAAAGCACAGCACCGAACACATGCACACCAGAGCACACAGCACTCACATGTCTTGGAGTGCTCATGAGATAACATGTAATTGGCGAGGGGTGGTGTGTAGGTCAGACACTGCAGTGCAGCATTGGCGAAACAGGTATTGCCCAGATTCTGGAGCCCAGCGCCAACTCGATGAGATTGTTGCCACTTAAGACAAATCTTTTCAGATGGAAACAGAACCTTTTGAGGAGGAGCAATGCCATCACCTAGGACTTAAAGAAAACAGAGCAAAAAAATTAAAAACAAAGACTTGCACACTTCATAAGCAAAACTCACAGCAATGCCTGAGTCTGGTCAAGATCCTACACCTCATTACCAGCCTGCCACACACACCGAGGAGAAAGTCACACTCGAGTCTAGAGCCTGGGGTGAGAATAACTCCACTCTCATTTGACTTCTTTAACAAATCATTTTCAAAGACAAGGGATGGATACAAAGAAATGATCTTAAGAGATATAAATCCACTTACTGTGTAGTATTCATTTAAACTAATTAAAAAATACAAACTAGATTTGTGTGTGTGTGTTCCCACATTGTATGCACAAGCACTGGTACCCATGAAGGCCACAAGAGGCCTTTATATTTTCTCATACTTTATGTTCTACCTTTATATTTTCTCATACTTTTTCATAATAAGGGTCTGGGGATATAGCTCAGTTAACAGAATGTGTCCCTAAAAGGCACAAAAAGTCCTGCGTTTGATTCCCAGCACTGCCTCTCATCCCAGCACTCAGGTGATAGAGACGAGACTCAGGAAGACAAAAAAAAAAAAAAAAAAAAAATCAGGCCAGGGCCGGGCAGTGGTGACACACACCTTTAATCCCAGCACTTGGGAGGCAGAGGCAGGTAGATTTCTGGGAGTTTGAGGCCAGCCTGGTCTACAGAGCTAGTTCCAGGACAGGCACCAAAGCTACAGAGAAACCCTGTCTTGAAAAACCAAAAAAAAGAAAGAAAAAAATCAGGCCAGTTTTGGCTACATAATGAGTTTGAGGACAAGATAAAGTTTATCCTTCAATAAATTGGGAATTTACAAAAACCACTCACATCCCGATAACTAAAGTCACTCCACCCTCATATCTGCAGCCCAGGCTAACAGTGGCAGGGGGGTGGGTGGAGAATGACTGCTCACTAGAAGGAATCAAACAGTGCCAGTCTTGAAAACCACTGCCTTCCTCAAACATTCGCACAGGAGTTCCTGACAGTAATTCTGCAATCATACCTTGATCCTTTGGGGGTGATGGCTTTGATTTATCAGGTACAGATGAATTGGAATAAACTACAGCACCAGGCACTGGCCCTAAAGAAAGTGTATGATTTGAAACATCACTTATTGAAGACACAGCACCCCAGCTGGCAGAGCCTGTGTCCATGTCTTCAGGTGAGACCGCCTCAGAACTGCCAGGCTGGTTCTGACAGGTTGATGGGTCTGAAGGTTCAGTTTTGTCAACTATGGTCATTTTTCAACCCTGTAAAAGACAAAAAGTATGTTTTGTTGTTTCAAAGTTGTTTCAAAGGGTGAGGCAAGCAGTCTACATAAGTAGCCACTGTATCTTGGAAATTTTTGACTAGCCATTTAAAACTCTTTAAACAAATCACCCAAATATAAAACATTAGTGGGGGTAGGGATGTTGCCTAGAATCCAGGAAGCCCGGGTTTTATCTCCCAAATCTCATAAACTGGACCAGCAAAGTGGTGCAAGCCTGTGATCCCAGCGTTGGAGAGGTGGTGGCAGGAAGAGCAAGAGTTCAATACAAGACCGTCTCAAAAGCAGCAGCAGCAACAAAAAACCCATATCCTATACCAAATCCCCCAAATCATCTTTCAGTTTATAATTAGGCATCTCAATTCACAATTATATATATTTAAATAAGAACCTTTTTTTAATCTCTACTACTTAAAAGCTAGGAATATTCTACACTTTAATTTTTTTTATTTGACTACATTTTCAATTTATACACCATTTCAGGGGAAATCTCAATTACATAAAGAGAATATTTAGCTTTGATTTTTAACTCAAAGTCTAAAATACCATTGTATGAAATTTGAAGTTTTGAAAAATTATAGCTACAGAAAAGTCTTACCAGTGAAATTCATTTTCCTGAAGAAGTCTATGTATATGGATTAACTTTTAAAATTAAACCTGTAATTTTACTAGCATCAAACTTTTAACACAAATGCATTTAAATTTAATTCTCTCTGGATCTTATTTTCAAATATATTAATTAAGCTTTTTTTTCTATGTACTGGGCATCATATTAATTGCTGAATACATACTAACTTGCTAAATTTTCATGATGAACCTTTGATCAGTCAAAACCTGCAAGATTTACAATGAAGTAATAATACAACTCAAACTAGTCAGTGACCGGGACTAGAGAGCCAGAACCAAGAAACCCAGCTAGGCTTCTGTCTAGCCGCTGCACCACCCGGCCAAAAAGCACTTTTAGGAATGGTACAGGCGCCAGGCAGTGGTGATGCATGCCTTTAATCCCAGCACTCGGGAGGCAGAGGCAGGCGGATCTCCATGAGTTCGAGGCCAGCCAGGTCTACAAGAGCTAGTTCCGGAACAGGCTCCAAAGCCACAGAGAAACCCTGTCTCAAAACAAACAAACAAAAAAACCCAACAACAACAAAAAAAAAAAGGAATGGTACAGGCAGCCACACCCTGAAGAAGACGTCCCTGTAGTGCTCTTCTTCCTAGTATCTGGAAGTGGCACGCTTTGGTCTCTGGAGTGCTCCCACCATAGGCTTATCCATTTCAGTCCCTGTTCTATTTGAGTTCTTGCAAGCTATTATTTTCCATCTTTCTACATCTGGCCAGTAAACTTTCAATTCCCAGGCTTAGAATTCACTCCTCTGGCATGCTTTCCGTAACAATTCCTTTCACCCCAAGACTGGATTAGAAACACATCCTAAAGGGTTTCCTTGACAACACTTTTCACCCCAAGACTGGGTCAGAAACCCCTCGTAAAGAAAGACTCCTTGTTCAGTAAAACTTACTCCACCCTACCTGGCATGGAGAAAGCTTTCCAAACGTGTTAACAAATGAATGAAATCATGCAAACAGGAAGTAACTAGTGTTTGCTTTTAGCACCAGTTTGTGCTGAGTGATTTATATAAGGTATCTCATTTAATCCTTTAAAAACTCTGAATTAAGGAAGTACTCTAAACTTTGGCCTTTACAGAAAGCAATGAAAGGCTCGTGTACTTGCCACCTCAGTGACAGTGTCACCACGTGCTTCTACTCACAAGGTTGTTTCTTAAAAACTTCAACCTTCTTGTTTACAATTTTAATTAAAGTACAATGTGGGGACAGTTACATAAAAATAGAAAGTCAATTATATCTGATTTGAATATTTAATCAAGATAAATGACCTTCATTTACAAGAAAGACTGAACCTATTAGCCAAATAAAGCTTAAACTTTTCTCATCCTACAGGCAAAACAGAAATAAAAAGTGTATTGATGAAAGGAAGGAAAAAAGGAACAGAAGGGAGAGTTAAAGGAAAAAAGTCAAAATTGGGTAATAAGACTAATCTATCCTTAGTAAATTAACATTAATAAAAGTTCTTGATTTTCCTGGGATAAGCAACCTTTCCAGACAATGATTAACAATTAAATAAAACATCATTATTCTAGGGAAAGTGGGGCAGTAGGCTTAACAGAAAAACACAACTCTAGTCATCAGTAAGTATGGTATTGTTTGATTCTGGCAAGACTAACCAAATCCATCATCATCTTCATTTTGATATTCAGCCAATGAAATCTTACCCTAAAATTATCCAGTATCAAACTAAACTCTGCCTCTTATAGAGATAACCTTACTGAAAACCCAATACTGTGTAAGACAGGATTCATGTGACTTCTGTTCTTTATTCTAACTAAAGCTTCTGAAAGTTAGGGTTCAAAATAGGACTACGAAAGTAACTTCAATGAAAGTTGAGCCTTTCTCCTGACACCCCCATGATATACAAAGTTACCAGAGACCATTTAAAAAGACTCTCTATCTAGCAACCAGAACAGGGACCAGAGTTGGATAAATGTGCAGGGCTAAGAACCTTTACTTGGTTATGTCTCTTTGATGGGGAGTAAATGCTAGGCTACTGTTAACCCTTTTCAGTATAAAAAAAGGAGTACCACAACACACTGTGTCACTCCACACACACTGAAGGAATAAGGTCGACACACATACACAAAAAACATACACTTTTTCATAAACAATATAATACAAGTTCTTGTAACATTTGCATCTTAAGAAACTTTAAAAAGATACCACTTGAATTTTAATTCTATTTAGGTAAACGGAATGATTAGCCCTAAACCTTTGCGAATCAAGCACTTGCTGTAGTCCTGATTCAATTACAGAAAAGAAAGTGAAAGTGTCCTTAAGTAAAAACAACTGTAACTGATTATTCAGACCTATGCACCTGAATGAGTGGCATGGTAAAAGCAAATGTTTAAGATTCACACTTTGCAAAAAAAAAAAAACATTATCCTCCATAAACAGCTATGAGAATCTGAATCCGGTAGTTACTTTAAAAGGGGCGTTAACTAGTTTCTCAACACTTTTTGTTACTTGAGTGCATTTACTTGAAAGAACCAAACAAGCAAGCCCTAAGGTCTTCAAATATAAAAGAGCTATTCAACAAAAGTAATCTCAACTGTATTCATTCTAGGGAGGTTAAAGTCCTAGATCGTAAAACTTTGGTCCCGTCAAATTTTCATTTTAAACATTTGAACCCGATCCCCCCCCCCCCCCCCCCCCCCCCCCCCAGGTAAGTTGGTTCTTCCTGCCCCAAAGATAAAGAACGTGAGGGAGGAAGGCACACTTGCTTTATTTCGGAGGGGAATGAACTACGGGGCTCCTCCCCCCCCAACATCCCCGGCCGCCCGCCTCTCCTTCGGGTGCCCGCTCTGGCGTGGGCAACTGGGGCGTTCTGCGGGGAAGCCGAGTGGCCCGCGCCTGGGTGGGAAAGTTTGTCTGGGGTAGGGGCGGGGTGGGGGTGGGGAGGCCAGCCCCGAGCTCCGAGGGCCGCCCAGGGTGGCAGTCACGCGGGGGGCGGCGGGCGGGCCACGGACGCCGGCTACACTGTCCCGGCGTGCACACGCCCACCCCGGCAGCTCCAAACCCAACCGGCGGCCCGAGAGCAGCCGGCAGCAGCGCGGCCCCGCCACCGGGTCGAGGGGGCGGGCTGGGGCCGGTGGGGGTGGGAGCGCGGTGGCCATGGCAACCAGGGGGGTCCGGCCCTCCCCGTGCAGCCCCAGCGCTGCCTTCGCTGCGAGCCCTCCCGCCCGCCTTGGCCGCCACCTCCTGCTCCGCGGGCCTGGCTCGGCCGGGCGGCAGCAGCACCCGTTCCGCAGCCGTGGGGTTCCCGGGCCGCCGGGTGGCTGTAGAGGGGGCGGCGGGAGAGGGGCCGCGCCAGTCCCGGCGGGCCGCGGCCGGCTGAGGGTGGCGGGGCGGCTGAGGCCGCGAAGCCAGGACACGCGGCCGGGCCCCACGCCAACCTGCAGCGAGCGGGAAGGAGGCGGGAGCTTACCTGACCCGGCTCGGCACTCGCTCCATCCCCCTCGGCCGCCGCCGCCGCCGCCGCCGCCGCCGCCGCCGCCGCCGCACACAGCCCAGCCGCCCGGCGGGGGACAATGACGTGCCTCCATCCGGGCACCGCCGCCGCCGCCTCCGGGTCAGCGCCGCACCCGCAGCTCGCCGGCCGGGCCGCCAGGGGGCGCGCCAGGGCCGCGCCCGCACGCGCCGCCGCCACGGCCTCCGCCGCCCAGGGGCCGTCGCACAAGAGGCGCGGCGCGCAGCTAACGGGCCCGGCAAGCGCGGGAGGGGCCGTCGCCCAAGGGCGGCGGGGCGCGGGTTGGCCTCGCGCGTCAGCTAAGCGCCGGGCGCCGCCGGAGAAAACACGCTGATTGGCCCGACGCGCTGATTGGCGGGGCGCACTGATTGGCTAAGGCGTCCGGCAGCAGGGCGGGGAGGGGCCGCTTCCGTTCGGAGTTACCGGAGCTGCCCCAGTTGGGGCAGTAAAGCGAGAGCTCACCTGAGCTTCCCAACCGTGGAGATTGATGCCTCTCCTGCGCTTGGCCCTGCCCACGGCGGTGGGGACCCTGGGCTCCACGACCTCTGGCTTTTAGGCCCACGGGCCATCACTGCAACGGAGGCTTCGCTCTTCACCCTACGGAGCCCGGCTGTGCAAAGGGACAACTCTTGCACCCCGTCGACATTTAAGCCTTAGCTCTGCAGTGTTTGGGGCTACTGAGGGGCTCTTGCATCTCAGTGCTATTTCGTGGGTCTCGAGGCTGGACGAGAGTAATATATCCTTGCATCCTCTCCTTTACAGCGCCTGCCTGTGGCGTCCATTTAGGACACAGCCCTGAAGTGCACTCACTGCTCACCCAAGTTTTTCACCCCTTACAGTACCAATTCGCTCCACTCTACTGATCCAAGGAGCCGTGGTGCTGACTAACTAACTACTCCCTTGTCTTCTCACTCACTAAGCCTAGTCTAATTGACTCCACCGGCACTCCATTCTGGTTTCACTTTACTATTGTGGGCAGTTTTTTGTTTTTTAAAACACAGATCCAAAGATACTTCCCCTCTTCAGAGCCTTCCTCGCGCCAGAAAAGAGGCTAAACTCCTCAGCTTGGGTATTGAAAGTCCCATGATTCCCAGTACAAGTGAGTCTGAGACAGGAGGATCACAAATTTGAAGGCAGGCTGTGCTACATAGTTAAATCCAGTCTCAAAACAACAAAACTCAAACTCCACATTTCCTTTTTTTTTTTTTTATGTGTTCCAGCCACAGCCCGCTCTGCTCACCTCACCATTCTAGGTCCTGTGTTTGTAGATAGGAAGCCTATATACCTACCCATTCTACCAATCTTATTACTGTCCCTGTAGGTTGATTATAAAATGTCTGTTATGTATTTGGAGCAAAAAGTGAAGTACTTGGAGGAAATAAGGGGAAAGAGAGTCCCAGTTGCTCAGATTCAGCATCTGTCAAGATTACCACAACTTTCTTCTTTACAAAGAATGGTATTGGAATTTCACCATCGTGGACCTTTTAACAATAAGAGATTTGCAAAAGGTGAGGTAGCTTATGTCTGTAATCCTGGAATTCAGGGGCTGAGGCAGAAGGATTACCATGAATTCAAGCCAGCCTGCACCACATACAGAGTGAGAGCCTCTCTCAAATTGTGTGCGCGCGCGCGCGCGCGCGCACACACACACACAAATAGTTTTTGCAATGTGATGGAGCATGTCTGTAATCCAGTTCAGCCAACACTACGTAGTGAGACTCTGTCTCAAATATGAGCTGACATTGATAGGCTCAGTACTTTGCTTGCCTTTTCCAAATGCGTTTCAAGTACTAAATCCAAATACTAAAGAACTGAGGAACTAAATTGTTGCTATTCATCTTAGCTTTATGGTATTTCAAAATGTTTCCCTTTGAAGTTTCCCCCTCCCTCGCTCCTTCCCTCTTCTCTCTCCTCTCTCTCCTCTCTCTCTCTCTCTCTCTCTCTCTCTCTCTCTCTCTCTCGCTCTGTTGAGGTTTATTAAGAAAGGCGGGTTGGTAATTGTTTTTAGAGGCAGGGTCTCATTCTGTAAACTGGACTTAAACTCAACAATTTCCTCCTCAACCTGCAAGTGCTGGGATTAAGGATTTAACTGAAGGGGAAAAGAGAGAAAAGGGCCCAAGAGTCTCAAGAGACACTCAAGTCTAATTTCATTTTACATAAAGTTTGATACCCTTCATTCAGATCACTTTAACAATTCGAGTAGAAACTTTTTCATGTATGTAGTGTGTGTGTGTGATTGTATATACTCAATGTATGTGGAGACCAGGAGTCAACATATTTGTGTAGTGTGTGTATGCACCCAGATGTGTGTGGAACAATTTCAGGCGCGTGCACTACAGGAATCCAACCGTTGACTTTGGATGTCTTCCTCAGTAGCTCCGTATGTTGTGTATGTGCATGTCTGCATGCAGGCGGACTCCCCCATGTGTGTATATATGGAGGACGGGTTAACTTCTGCTATCTTTATATACTGCACACTTCCTTTTTTGAGAAAGCTTTTCACTGAACCAAGAGCTTGGCTAGATGGCATCCATCAAGCCCTTGAGATCCACGTCCTCTGTCAGCTGTATTGTGCCCCCTCCCCACTCCCTGGCACTGTGAGGACACTCCAGTAGCTGTAGCGGATACACTGTTCCGGCTGTGGCACTTCAGGTTGCCTGCACTGGTCTTGCATTGCACTCCTAAAGCAAGACAGAGCTGAGTGAACTCTAGAAGCTCCTACCATCATTTTACCAAGCTAAAAGGACTGCTTCCTTGTTATTCTTACCATATGCCTCATTCCTAGCTATATAAGTAGGCTATGTCCTGATCATTTTTCTTCTGAAACAATCTTTTTTTTTGAAAAATGCTATCATGTACTTCTGATTGTCCCCCAAACTGGCTATGTAGCTGACTTAGAACTACTGATCCTCCTACAGCCACCTCAGGAGAACTGAGATTACTGGGATGTGCCATCTTGTCTGGCATCAGTATATCTGTGTGTGAATGTGTTTGTTGGCACATTTATGTGGTGAGGGCATGCACATGTGTATGTGTCTGCATGTACATTCCAGAGAACTTTAGATACCACTAGTCAGATGGCATTGACATTTTTTGAGACAGTGGCTTTCACTGGCCAGGAACATGCCAAGAACACTAGACTGGCAGACCAGAAAGACACAGGGACCTGCCTGATTTTACCACCCCAGACCTAGGAAAACAAGTCCACGCCACCATGCCTGGCAGTTTCCCATGAATTCTGGCCATCTATCTTAGGTCTTTATGCTTGTAACAACTTTACTGAAGGGTCCATGGGCATTCCAGTGAAACGGCTCTGTAGGAAAAGGTGCTTGCTGCCAAGCTTCAGTGCCTGAGATTGATTCCTGGGACTAACATAGTAGAAGGAGAAAACTAATTTCCTCAAGTTGTCCTGTGGTCTCCACCCTAAGCATGTGTGCAGCCCCCAACAGGAAATAAAGGTAAAAATATTTCAATAAAGGATTACACGCACGGATACATTTGCTGGGACAGGGTTTCATATTATGGCCCAGGCTAGTCAAGAACTCAAAGAAATTCCTCCTACCCAGCCCCATGAGTGCTGGGTATGCAAGTATGAAGCACTCGACATAATTTACATTTTGTTTCTTATGATGTTTGACATTACCCAAAGCTTGCAGACTTGGGAAGACTCCCCTCCTACAGTAGTTGACTGTTGAAAGATAGTATGTATGTATGTGTGTGTGTGTGTGTGTATATATATATATATATCTCAGGAGGACATCTTCCATTCACAAAGTAAGCTGACTGAAACTCTAGTCATACATTTCCTTACTTCCTACTCACTCTCAAACATGTATGTTGCCTCTGCAAAGTCATGAAAAACAAGTAATAGGCAATCACTTCTAAAATCCCACCAAAATTACTATCACTTGCCAATGCTAACTTACCTAACTCTTCTTGGGTTACATTTCATCAAAAATGCCAATAGAGATTCTTCCTCAGGCTCTCCCTTAATTCCACTTGTGTTATTGTTGTTGACAGTTCAGATTAGTCCTGGAGTACCCTTTGTTTCCCAGGCTCAATTCAAACCTGGGTACCCCGAGTAATGGGATTACAAGCCCATACTACACACTGCTTTTTGTCATTCTGATCCAACCTGGGATCTGCCTGAATCTGCCTGACCTGAAATACAGCCCTCCTTAGGTGGAGTTTCTGTTAAGCATCTTCCTTCCAGATCTTCAGATCGCCTCCTGGAGCTGTAATGTCTTCACCATCCCACCTCTGACAGCTGCATTAATATGCTACAGGCGACTGGAAAGGGGGCAGTGGAGGTATAGGACTGCAGATAAACCAAGTGTCTAACTTACCTCAAGAATTAGAAGAAGGAAAGTAGAGGACTTGAGGAAATCTCAACTGTGGAGATTCAACTGGTTGGAGGCTAGCAATAGATTTGACCCTGAGGGTCAGAGGTCTTAGGACCTGAAGGTGTTAGACCTAAGGGCTGACCTCACATATGAGTCTCCTAGAAGCAAAGATGTGAGCTTGTCATTAAGAAGGTAAGTGTCTTTGCCCCTGAGTCTGATGACCTGAATTCCACCCTTAGGATCAACAGAGTGAGAGCAAAGAACTGCTTTAAGCTGTCCCTCAGCCTCCAAGCATGTGGGTGTGCAAACACACACCGTAAATGTAATACAAACATTTGTAAAGAAAAGATACTAGGACTATGGAATAATCTTAGAGGGTTGAGTGATTCCTTAGGATGCAGGAACCATAAGTCCCTCCTCAAAAAAACAAATAAGGGGTCAAAGATAGCTCGGGAATATATAGCTAGCATTCCTGAAAGTAAAAGCAACTACTTCTGGAGTTCAATGTCATTCTGAGCAACACAGTGAGTTCATGACTATCCTACATGGTTGCATGAGAACACAACACAGTGTTAAAGGTTCTGCCTCAGAATCTCTGCTCATTCAATTTTTTTTTTTCAAGACAGGGTTTTTCTGTGTAGTCCTGGCTGTCCTGTAACTCACTCTGTAGACCAAGTTGGGCTCGAACTCACAGAGATCCATCTGTCTCAGCCTCCCAAGTGCTGGGATTAAAGATGTGCAACACTATCATCTGATAGCTTGACCATTCATTTTTAATA